ACCATGGCTAAACACTGATAAACTTTGACAATACAGTGGTAAAGACTAGTAGACATAGGTAAACAATGATATACAGCTAAAAACATAGGTATACAGTGATATACAATGCATGCCTAATTTCTTATATCCCGTGTTATATATAACACGACCAGGGGCGTATCTAGTAATTGGAGGAGGGGGGTGCTGGGGGCGCGCGAAGCGCGCCGTGATTTTGGCCACACCCACTTTTACGGCGGTAAAACGGCCTTTTCCTGCATTTTCGACAATTACGGGTGGGGCCAAGATCATTTCAAGCATACTCAGTGGCGGATCTAGGGGGGTTCCATGGAACCCCCCCTTTGGCAGAAGAAGTTGTCTTTTTGCAGTATCTTTGGATTCTTTGCAGTCAGTTTGCATCACTTTTCCTCCATTTTATTAGTTAGATCTACACCCAAATTTTAATTAAAATTAATGAGCTACACCTACTTAAGTGAAATGGAACTCCCCTTTTAATTTTTCTGGATCCGCCAGTGATACTGCTATGTTACTGGTACTTCTGATTGCTCCTTAAAGCACTGGAAACTGCTGAAATCATGATCAGGGGGCTAGATAACTTTGCTAAGAGGCTTGGTAGTGATGCAAGAGTCCAGGACTTCAGTAATTTTTTCTGAGCCCAGCCCTGAGGGGGGTGCTCAAGCCCCCTCAGCCCCCCCTAAATACGCCTCTGACGACAATAAGGGAGTGGCTATCCCAAGACCGAGGATGCTTTGAATTGATATCACTCAAGGGCCGAAGGCCCAAATGTGATATCAATTCAAAGTACCCAAGGTGGAGGGTGCATCAACCCATATTGGCCACAAAATGTAGTTCCAAACTATTATACTGTTAAGGTAAGCAATTCATGTAATTGTAATTCTGTTAATAAGCTGACCTATGCATTTGTTTTGGTTCAGCTAAAGGGTAGGCTTGGGCCAAATATTCCAGAATAATTTAAAGAATAATAGGTGCAAAACCAATGAAGAATAATAGGAGAATAATAGGATATATTTTAAGAATAGTGGGAGAAAGTAGGGACTGGTTAAATTTTTAACAAAAATAGATGCAGAAGATGTGCATGTGTTGGTTCTAACATCTAGTACTGCATCTG